ATTATTTAAATTATGTCATTTCTGTAATAGACACAGGATTATTCAGATTTTCATTCTTCTTGTGTCAGTTTTGTTAATTTGTGTTTTTCAGAAACTTGACTATTTCATTTAAATTGTCTCTTGGCATAAAGTTGCTCATAATAGCTTTATATCATTTGTATCTGTAGGATCTACAAAATGTGCCTATTTTCATCTGATATTGCTTGTGTGTGTGTGTGTTTGTGTGTTTTCTTGATCGATCTTGCCAAGGGTTTATTAATGTTTTCAAAGATCCGCTTTTTGAATTTGATTATTTTTCTATTGTATATTTATTTTCTATCTCATTGATTTCTGCTCTTTGTTTTCTTCTTTCAACTTTAGGGGTTTGATTTGCTGTCCTTTTTCTAGTTTGTTTTTTTCTTTTCTTCTTCTTCTTTTTTTTTTTTTGCTGAGGAAGATTCGCACTGAGTTGAGATCCATGCCATTCGTCATCTGTTGTTTTTGTTTTTGTTTTTTGCTGAGGAAGACTGGCCCTGAGCTAACATCCATCCCCATCCTCCTCTACTTTGTATGTGGGATGCCTGCCACAGCATGGCTTGCCAAGCAGTGCCATGTCCACCCATGGGATCCGACCTGGCGAACCCCGGACCGCTGAAGCGGAATGTGCAAACTTAACTGCTGTGTTGCTGTTTTGTATGTGGGTCACTGCCACAGCATGGCCGCTGACCAGTGGTGTAAGTCCACAGCTGGGAACCAAACCCAGGCTACCAAAGAAGAGCATGCTGAACTTAACTGCTATGCCATGGGGGCAGCCCTGTTTTTTTTCTTTTAATGAATGCGTATATTTGACTTTCAACTGTTCTTCTTTTCTAAATATGCATTCTTAATCTAAAAATTTCCCTCAAAGTACTGATTTGGCTGCATCCTACCACTTTTAATTATTATATTATTTTTTCTTCCATGTTTCCATTTTTCCTAACTTGAATGTTAGGAAATCTATTATTTTAGTAGCTACCCTAGAAATTTTCACATTCATAGTTATCAAAGCCTAAAATTTATCTGTATTTTTACCCTCTTCCTGATTACTACACTTAGTAATTACTATTGATTAGTACAGTCATACCCAGCTATTTGGTAATTTGCTATTGTTGTATTTTATTCTATCTTGTCTTCTTTTTAAACTCCACAAGACATTTTTATCATTTTTCTATGTCATATCTATATAGATTAACTTATCCATGACCACTTTTTTGCTCTTTTCCCATCTCTGATCTTCAGTCAAGGATCACTGGCCTTCCGTCTGAGCGATATTCTTTAGAATTTCCTTTAGGTGGCATTCTGTTCATCACAAATATTGAGTTTTTGTTTGTCTGAACATATTTTTATTTTTGAAAGATATTTTTGCTCTGAATTCAAATTTACATTGATAGTTATTTTTTAAATACATTAAAGATAGTCTTTTGTCACTGGCTTCCACTATTGCCGTTGAGGAGTTAATTGTAAATCTTTTTTTCTTTTAATTTCTGTATTTTTCATATCTAGAAATTCTCTTTAGGTCTTTTTCAAAACTGGTCTGTCATTTTTCATAGTCTCCTTCTCTTTACCCGTGTCTTCAATTCCTTTTCACTAAACATTGTATATTCTCTGTCCTGTAGTTCCTATATCTATAGTTTTTTCCTGTCCCTCATAATACCTTACTTTCTTTTTTAGTTTGGTTGTCTTTCTGAACTTGTTTCTTATTACTGTGTCAGTCAGAGTTCCTTAAGATCTAGATATAAGGTGCATTCCCTTAGAGATTTTTTTTCTATTCAAGTACTTGACAACGGTTTTGGTGTAAGACCACATCAAACTCTTTTCTTAGTGTGGTGTTTTTCTGAGTACCCAGGAAATGTGAATGTGGGCAATAAATCCACATAAGAGTCAACTTATAGTTACAAATTCTTAGGAGAGATTTTATTTTTTTCCATCCACCACTTCTATCATGAAGACAATTTTCCTCACAGTCTCGTAGTTGGGGACAGGAGAGGGGCTGTTGTTTCTATTTGACCCATCTACTGATTATGTGGGGTTTTGCAGTCTCAGCTTTGTATTGGGGAAGCCAGATTCTGCCAGCCCACCACCACCCCCATTCAGTAAAAAGTTAAAATTCCTCAAAACTAAAAGCACATTTGAAAAAATTTGACTTTTTTTTTAAGGTTTTTTTGTTATTTTAAAGATTTTATTTTTCCTTTTTCTCCCCAAAGCCCCCCGGTACATAGTTGTGTATTTTTAGTTGTGGATCCTTCCAGTTGTGGCATGTGGGACACCACCTCAGCGTGGCTTGATGAGCGGTGCCATGTCCATACCCAGGATCTGAACCAGTGAAACCCTGGGATGCGGAAGCGGAGTGCTTGAACTTAACCACTCTGCCTTGGGGCTGTCCCCAAAATTTGACTTTTATTAAGAATATTTAACATTGTTTGGTTGTTCAGATATAAGTAATATACGTAATGCCAAATCACAAACGATAGTTTTTTTTAACAATCCATGTATCTGTAAGAACAGGGTAGTTATAGTGTGACCTCTTAGCCAAAAATATAAAAGTAGGCTTGCTCTATAAAAGAGACAGTCCTGATATTACTAAAATAGTGATCTTACTATGTATTTGTCTTAACAGATTTCAGTATGATAATACAGAAAAATAGCTAGTGTCGGACATTACACCTTGGTTTTCATTTAGAGCCCAAGAATTAGTCACATCTCAATGTTTTTATACATCTTTTCTAAAGAAAAAATTCTCACTCTTGAAAAATCAAAAGTAAGAGAAATTATTATGTTTCCCCTCCTTTGTTGTTGTTATTCTAATTTCTCCCCTAAAACTTTATATGCTTTTCTTTTTTTGTACAGCTTTATTGAAATATAATTCATGCACCATACCATTCGCCTATTTAAAGTGTAAAATTTAATTGTTTTTAGTATATTCAGAGTTGTACAACCATCACTACAGTCAGTTTTAGAACACTTCATCACCACAAAAAGAAAGACTATTAACAGCCCCATTTCCCCCAACCTCCTCAATCCTAGGAAACCACTTTCTGTCTCGATAGATTTCTGGACATTTCATATAAGTGGAATTATATGATATGTGATCTTTCACAGATGGCTTCTTTCACCTAGTACCATGTTTTCACGGTTCATCCATGACATAATATGTACCAGCACTTCATTTTTTTTTTATTGCCAAATAATATTCTGTTGTACAGATACGTCGCATTTTATTTATCCATGCAGCAGTTGGTGGACATTTGGGGTGTTTCCACTCTTTGGCTATTATGAATAATGCTGCTGTGAACATTCATGTACAGTATTTTTGTGGGGACATACATTTTCATTTCTTTTGAGTATATACCCAGGAGTAGAATTGCTGGATCACATGGTAACTCTATGTTTAACCTTCTGAGGAACTGCTAGACTGTTTTCCAAAGCAGCTGTACCCCTTACAGTGTTTGAAGTTTCCAGTTTCTCCATCTTTTTACCAATGCTTGTTGTTATCTCTCTTATTATAGTCATCTAAGTGGGTATGAATTATTATCTTATTGTGGTTTTGATTTACATTTCTCTAATGAATAATGATGTTGAACATCTTTTCATGTGCTTATTGTTCATTTGTATATCTTATTTGGAGAAATGTCTTTTCAGATCCTTTGTCCATTTTTTAATTGAATTATTTGTCCTTTTATTGTTGAGTTGTAAGTGTTCCTTATATTTCTAGATACAAGTCTGTTATTAGATATATGGTTTGCAAAAGTTTTCTCCTATTCTGTGGATGGTCTTTTCACTTTGATGATGTTTTTTATTTTTTTTCCTTTTTTATTTACTTATTTATTTATTTTTTGAGGAAGATTAGCCCTGAGCTAACATCTGCTGCCTATCTTCCTCTTTTTGCTGAGGAAGACTGGCCCTGAGCTAACATCCGTGCCCATCTTCCTCCACTTTGTATGTGGGACGCCTACCACAGCATGGCTTGCCAAGCAGTGCCATGTCCGCACCTGGGATCCAAACCAGCGAACCCCGGGCCACCATAGTGGAACGTGCACACTTAACCACTGCACCCCTGGGCCAGCCCTTGATGATGTTTTTTAAAAGCACAAAAGTTTTTTGCTGATGTCTACTTTATATATTTTTTCTTTTGTTGCTTGTGCTTTTGGTTTCATATCTCAGAACACATTGCCTAATGCAAGATCAGAAAGATTAATGTCTATCTTTTCATCTAATTTAATTTTTTTAATTAAGAAGATTTTATAGCAGTGCCAGTAAAGAAATTTTTAAGGAGAAAAAAGCGCCAATAATCCCATCAACCTAGGAATCATTTATTTTTGCGATATTGTCATCTCCTTGTTCAATGTACACATATTTTTGTTATTGCTATTATTTGTTAAGTACCATGTTTTGTTCTGATATTTTTTGTGTTTATACATGTTATTCATAATTTTAGTTTTTAAGGCTATATAGTATAGTCAGCTTATTTCCCAATTGTGTAATACAGCTCCTTTATAGTTTTGTTTTTTTGATTTGATAGAACGCCACTTAACACTGACGAACACATAACCCTTTGCTTCTATTGAATTATTTTCTTAGTCTAACTTTCTAGGCATGAAATTATGGGGTCAAAGGATATAAACATCTTTCAGTTCTTAGATTGATATCTTACTACTTCTAGAAAGCATCAAGTTGTACTTTTGTTAAGTAAACATGCTTTAAATTTTTTTTTCATCGATTTTGAAGTTGATACACATCATAAGTTGAAGAATTTTACTTTGGTAATAATGTCAGTGATAATTCTTCATCACTAAAACTCAAGGTCAAGTTATATGTGTTTTTCTTCATCTGAAAAAAAACGATGGTACATCTAGTGGGACACTTTGTACTCATACTGGAAACTAGAACAGCCAGTTGCCTTGTTGACTGAAGACAAATATGACATACTTTATGGTATTCTCTGCTTTAAGTAATAATAGTATAATTTATTAAATTTTCTTTAGGCTTCGGGAACAGGAAAGAAAAGAAGCAGAAGAAGCTAGTCAAAAGGAAATAGAAGAATGGGAAAGAAAACTTCTAGCTCAAGCAGCTCCAACTTGTATGGAGACCCTGTGGGAAATTCCAGCTATTGGGCATTTCCTTTGTTTAGCCCAGCAAATTCTAAATTTGCCAGAAATAGTCTTTTATGAATTGGAACGTTGTCTTCTGATGCCTCAGTGTAATGCATTTCTATCTAAAATAATGACTTCTCTATTAAGTCCTCCCCATCGCAGACCTACCTTACATCGAAGACCTACTTTGCCTTATAGGACCTGGGAAGCAGCACTGAGACAGAAAGTACAGCAGTGGTACACTGCTGTAGGGCAGACTGAAAATCCCGATAACTGTGCTGAAAAACTTGGATTGTGTCCTCAGTTTTTTAAAGTTCTTGGAGAAGTTAATCCATTGGAAGAAAAACCTTTTCATGAACTACCTTTCTACCAGAAAGTGTGGTTACTTAAGGGTCTTTGTGACTTTGTGTATGAAACACAAAAAGAAGTTCAAGATGCTGTACTTGGACAGCCTATTCATGAATGCAGGGAAGTTATCCTTGGTTACGATTATTTGGAGAATGCTTACGTACATTTTCCACAGTTCTGTGGTGCAGATGTACGGATTTATAAACAGAGACCCTTTCAGGCCCCAGAATTTCCAGTTCCACCTATTAAAATACAAAGAGTACCTAGGATTAAACTGGAGAAATTGAAGTGTGACTATGTTAGTACAAGTAATGGAGAACATAGATGTAGTAGAGAAGGCCTGCCCTCTGCCTTCAAGAAAGAGCAGGAAATTAATTTTGATCCAACTTGCTGCCCTGCTAAAATGAACTTGGATAATCATGACATCTCTGTTGAAATGGAAGTGAAATCCAGCTGTGAAATTAGAATTTGCAGGCCTTATGAAATTAAAAAAACTGATTGTTGTAAAGAAAATTTAGAGAAACCAGGGAGTCCAGGGGAAGTTACTGGCTTTGGAGAGCCTCTCAGTCCAGGTGAAATAAGGTTTATAGAAAATCAAGAAAAATATGGTGAAGCTTCCAGAGTAAAGCCTGAACCCAGTCCATTAAAAGAAAATGCTCTAAAATCTTGCCAAATACATGTAAATGGAAGTCACAGTGATCATCCAGAAATTAACTGCCACAAGGTTGTAAGGGATATTCTGTTAGAGCAGTCACTGCAGAGCCACAAGAAACTAAAACTAACTAAAATGAGGGCGAAAAAGAAGAAAAAGAAAAAAAAGAAATTGAAAGATGTTTTGAATGAAAACTTACAGAGAAAGCGTGAAGGTCTTCATTCTCTTGCATTCAAGTCTTACAAACCTGAGATCCAGAATAAGTTATTGATCATCAAAAAGAAAGCAAAACACAAGAAGCACAAATCTGGTAAGCTAACACAAGTAGGTGAGAATTGCATTTAAGCATACTTCAGGTGGTTCTTTCAATTAAACAACATGGAAGGCTCTGATTGACACAATGAAGTACACATGTATGCATATGTATGTATGTGTTTATGAGTCAAGTTTTATATTATCCCACATTTTTAAAACCCAGAGCAGAGGTTTTATGTACTAACAACAGCAAGAAAAAATACTGGTGCAGTATATTTGAATTTAATTTTCATTTGAAAATCTTTGGACGTTATATTTTTACATTTCTCTGAACCAATTTCTCCATAAGTGATGCTTCCCATCACTTATGAGAAGTGGTTTTCTTCCCAGGCTAAGGGCAGTACAGTACAATGGAAAAAGCACTGATACCAGGAGGTATCAATCCCAGGACTGAAGTTCATAGCAACTAGCTCCTTAAACCAAGGCAAGTCAGATTACCTTTCTGGGTCTCAGCTTCTTCCCAAATCATATATTTTTCAGCATATCCAGAAAAAATGTTGTGAAATATAAGGAAAAAATTACATAACTAATAACACATGAAGCCTTTTTATATAAGAGGATTTGTAAGTTTGTCTTACATCAAATTTAAATACTCAATATATTTGTCACAAGCCTGTTTAAACAGTAACAACAAAAAATCCTATGAAAATTTTCAGTGTTTGCTGTTTTCTAATTACTCAAGGTGTTCTTGCTTTTTCTATTGTTTGCCTTTTAATCAGCTTGTCTCCTTTATCCAAAGGATAGGTAAGATTAAAGCAGATGATCAACTTCTTTTATTAACCCTAATAAAAAGTTGCCTGATTGGGAAAAACTTGAATTGTTTACTAAAATGAGTTGTGGTTTATCATCATTATTTGTTGATTTTAGTTTTTTACGCCTTCCCTAAGTAACAAAAATAATTAAGATTTGACAATAATTTGGTAATGAGTTGGCAAATGAGGGAGTGAATTTTGTTTAGCTGATATAATTGCTGTTAAGTCTTAGTTATTTAAATCATTAAATACAAGTAAATGTATTTTTAAATGTGTATGTAACGTATCATTGATAAAGAAATAGTATAAAATTTACTATCAAGAACAAGCTTAATTTGTTGAACTGAAAATTGCAAAGTGGTCCACACTTACCAAAGTGATAAAAAGCTACAATTTTTTAAAGTAACTTTCAAAAACAAGCCTTTTAAATTTTACAATCAATCCATTAGGCTATATAAATTTAGTTTGTAGGTCCTTCTAGTTCTTCTATGTGAGCCACTACCACAGCATAGCTACTGACAGACGAGTGGTGTGGTTCCACGCCCAGAAACCAAAGCAGGGCCGCCAAAGCAGACCACACTGAACTTTAACCACTAGGCTATCAGGGCTGAATCCTTTCTCACTCTTTTTAAAAGTGAGCTCCATGGTCATAGATTTGGGAAATAAATGTTCCTCTTACTGATTTACATTGTTCATTAGTACGGGTCCACAATGCATTTTACAAACTCTTGTATCAGATATGCTTTGGAATTTAGAAATCTTCAGGTTTTAGAAGGATATTATGATGTATATAATGTTTACTAAGTAACGTCCCCAGTGGAGCTTGGGGCAGCCCCTATAATCAAACACATAATTTCTACAGAAAAATGTATGAATAGTCTGATTAAATGAGGTGAAGTCTATAAAGAACCTCATAACAGTTGAGGTCAGGTTTTGCTACCATATAAATCATTTTTAAAACTTCAGTTTTCAGAACCTTTTGGACTTCTGAATTGTGGTTAAGTGACATGGGGCCTGTATATTAAGGACTCTGGAAAGTGAAGATAAGAAAACTGTTTAGTTTTATTTAACCTAGTATTTTTTCAAGTTTATTTAAACACAGCTTTTTTTCAAGTAATAGTATTCTGTGGAATATGCTTTGGGATAAGCTATGTCATCATGACTGATACATGAACCTTCACTTAAGGTGGACTAAATTCTACATATGGTTAATCTGGTCCATTTTATGTTGATTACCACAGCCTTTAATTTTTGGTGGAATCTCCAAATTTAGTAACCCGCCTTATTGGGATGGGAGATGATTTTTAGTAAAGGGCACAAAGACAAATTGGTTGAAAATGATTTAATAATTTTAGTGCACTGTGAGGCAGTTTTGCAACTTTGAAGCATTTTTATCTGTTTTTCAGAATTGCAATTTTTTTTCTGCTTTTTAAATTTTGAATTTACTTTTAGTTATTTAAGCCTCTTCCTCATTCTTGGAAACATTATAGAATAGAAAAACATTGGAATTTTTCTCTGTTGTGGATACTTATAATGCTAGATACTTCTCCTTGTTAATAGTTATGTATAAAATTTATTCATAATAGTTGCATTTATTTCTAGGTTATTTTGATGATTGTCTCCCCTTTATTCTATAACGTTCTTGAGGACAGAAGGATTATTTCTGGTTTTGCACCCTTAGCATTTAGCACAGTGACTGACACATTGTATAGGAATTTATTGGATAAATAAATGAACATACATAATATGGCACATTAATATGTATTTTCCATATGCTTTTCAAGGCACTTATATTTTTGAATTGGGTTAGACCATAAATACCATTTTGCAATCTGCTTTTTTTCCACGTAACAGTATACCATGAACATCTTTGTGCAGTAAATAGATTTCCGCAGCATTGTCTTAAATGACTGCTAGGATTCTGTTACGTGTATTTTGTAGTTATTTAACCAATCTCCTTATTAGATGTTTTGGTTGTTTGCAATAATATACTGTTATAGATTGTGTAGGGCAGGTAGAGTTGGTTGAAATAGAAATTTTAAAAATTAGAGGACTTTTCATAAAACCTGAAAAAAACAGAAAAATGATTAAAGATACATTAAAAAGCTTATAATGTTTTAAGTTATTCATTTCAACCAGTTTCGTTTGGACATTTTTTTCCCTTCTCACATGGCCATTATTTTCAACCAAATCATTTTGTGGTAGCTCTTCTAAACTGATTAAAATAAATAAGACAAGTAGTGTTCTTCTCTTATGGGTGAAGAAACTAAGCTTCAAAAATGGTAAATTTTAATAATTAAGTATATAGTAAAGACATACAATGAAAGGTCAAGGAGAGAGTAAATCTGTGTGCTATAGTAGTTTGGGAAGGTTTCACAGAGGATGAGGGACTTTAAAGAATAATGGGGATTGGATAGATGAAAAATAGTAACATGAGCAAAAGCTTGAAGGTATAATTAAGTCAAGTGTCACTGAAAAAATTAGCACAGAGAAAAACTTAAGGAAAAAGTTGAGGTTTTAGAAGTTGAATGATGGGAATATGCCATTTTGGGGTAAGATCTTTCTGGGCAGGTGATGCTTGAATCAGGAGCACAGTGCAAGGAAATGAGCTTGAAGTAAGACACATCAAATGTGTAAAAAGCAATGAGCTGGGGCCGGCCCCATGGCCCAGTGGTTAAGTTCACGTGCTCTGCTTTGGGGACACGGGGTTTTGCCGGGTTGGATCCTGGGCGTGGACATGGCACCACTCATCAAGCCATGCTGAGGCGGCATCCCACATAGCAGAACTAGAAGGCCCTACAACCAGAATATCCAACTATGTACTGGGGGGGGTTTGGGGAGAAGAAGAAGAAGAAGAAAAAGATTGGCAACAGATGTTAGCTCAGGGACGATCTTTAAAAAAAAACAAAAATGAGCTGCTTTGTAGGGAAATAACTGAGAAAGTAATGTAATCTACAATGTTTTATTACATCCAGGCCCATATTTGTGAAAAGGATGTATAGTTCTGTGTTGATAGCACTATAGAACCTAACTGTGTAGATCTGAATATTATATTCTATTTTGTGGGACCAGGTGTCTTAGTGTGATGGGAGTAAAAGACCTGGGATATGATTAAGTAAGTGATAGAGGAACAGAAGCCCACTGGGGGGCAGTATGTAACTTGCCCTCTGTATATCTTGCCATGGAGCAAAACCAGACTACCAAAAGAAGGGCTGTGTGGCTTTGTAGTATCCCATGCTCCATTTTAAAAGTAGTATTTAATAAAAAGGAAGAGCTAATTTTTACTGAAGAATACAGGAAAGTTTGTATTCAGATTGTTTTTATGAGGTTATAGACTGAAGGTATTAAGTAATACTGAATATGCATATCTTCTAACCTTAATCAAAAGAAATCCTCTGAAATCAATCAGAAGCAGATTACATCCCTGCAGAAAGTTTGAAAGAATGCAGTATTTTACCATAAAAAGAGCACAGCTTTGAAGTAAGACAGATCTAGTGCAAATATAGCTTCAGTGCATATTAGCTACAAGTCCTCCATCAATTTATTTACCTGTTTATAGCCTGTTTCTTTATCTGTGAAAAATGAGTTACTACCACCTTGCTGTATTGTTACAAAGATTAATTGGAATAGCAAATACATAGTACCTAACGTGGTGCCTGGCATGGTGGTAGCAATCAATAAATGGTAACTATGATTTTTGAAAGATTAGAATTACATAGTGGAAAGAGCCTGGACTTTGGACTTAGAATCCCTGACTATGGTGCTTACTTGCAGTGTAACACTTGAGTAAGTTAAGAAATCTTTTTGATCTTTAATTATCTCACAATAAAATGGGGTATTGCCTACCTTGGAGAGTTGTTTTGAGAATTAACTGAGATAATTTATAATTTATATATAAGTACTAACTGTCTGACACATAGTAGGCTCTCAGTAAATGTTAGTTCTTTTACCACCACTCCTAGGTCATCTTGTGAATTCTTTGGTAAATTGAAGTCATTGTCAATGTTTTCCTCGTTATAAAATGGACCCAAGTGGACCCTCAGAGTTGTAAACAATTACCTGCCTCCCTTTTCCTATTCCCAGACTGGTGAAATTTCTGATGAAAAGTAGGATTCTTGTATTTAAGGATCGTTTCTGCTAATTTATTATATGCTAAATGCTGTAAATACAAAGTGAGTAATGCGATTCTGTCATCAATAATTCAGGAAGAAAAACATATAAACATAATTACAATACTGTATAAGAAGTGTTACATTAATTGATATGTGTACAAAGTACGTGTGAGCAAGGAGTAAGTTAATAAAAGAATTTGAAGGTTAAAAGATAATAATATTTTGTTTAGACTCTTATCATCATAGCTTAGCTAAGGCAGATAACAACTAACATTTATGGATCACTTACCATGTGCCTAGCAGTAGTTTAAACTCTTTACATGTTTTAACTTATTTAATTCTCACAAAGTAGGGAATATCATTATCCCTGTTTTACAGATGAAGAAATCACACAGGGAAATAAATCAATTTGCAGCCAGTAGGTGATTAAAGCTGGTATTCAAACCCAGGTAGTTTAGTACCAAAACTCAAGCTTAAAATCACTACACAATACTGCCTCCAGTTACTTAATCACTTAAGTATCCTAATGACAGGGGAAAGGAAATGCCCAGTAACCACCTCAGCTGCTTAATCCATTAAAGTAGAGTGGCTGCTAGAGTTAGCTGAGAATTTAGTATCTGAATTTAGTGCCTATGTGACAACAATGTGAAATTCATTGGGAATCTCAAGGGTGACCTCTGTTGTGCTTATAAATAAATACAAAATCAAATGATTTTTATAAAGCTAATTAGAGCAGGGCTTGGGCAGAGGGAGCAGTTTAAGGAAGGATTTCATTTCTTTCAAATTGTTGTAAGCCTTCCCAGATGCAGATCAGTAAGGCCATTAAATCTTTGCCCATGAAACTTAAAAAATGGTAAAGATGGTGTGTAGAGGACAGGCATCCTGACGTTCAGATTCATGAGTCCTCTTGAAAGGTACCTATTGCACCCAGTTTAGAAATCAATTACTAAGCTATATTACAGAGATACCAAGAATTTAATCACTTCTCACTGAATATTGCTTGTTTAAGCAGCCCACGCACTTACCTATTTTTGTAGGAGTTTAGTTCTGATATAGGTGCACTGTAAGCACAGAAGCAAATAATGGTGATGAGAAAAGAAATGTATGTATTTTAGTTTAATTAAAAGCAAATGTCAAATGACAGCAAGTTGGTACTTAGAACAAGACGGTAAAACCCACGTGAACCTCAGGAGATCAAAATTAACAGTAGTTCAAGCATAGTATACATGCATTTTATTGAGTCAAAAGTCAGAAATTATCCAAATTACAGTTGTGTGATATGATTAAAAAGGAATACAGAAGAAAATACACTTATATTATAAACAGGAATTGTGCATACCAGTTGAATAAAATGTTGCAATCAAATTGACTGTTTTCCTGCAAGATCTTACCTGTACAGGAAAATGTTTAGAAAGGAACAAGAGAGATTATGTAGAGCAAAGTTACTTTATGTACCTTCTTATTTTCCCTTCTGAAGAAATAGTTACTTTTAAGCTGATTTTAGCCTACAAATGATTGTGAACATTTTACATCAAATGTAAATCAAAATTAACTTTTGAGTATTTTCGATTATTTTTTTTTAAGATTGGCACCTGAGCTAACATCTGTTGCCAATCTTCTTTTTCTTCTTCTTCTTCCCCCAAAGCGTCCCCGTACCTAGTTGTATATTCTAGTTATAGATCGTTCTGGCTGTGCTATGTGGGATGCCGCCTCAGCATGGCTTGATGAGTGGTGCCATGTCCGTGCCCAGGATCGGAACCGGCAAAACCCCAGGTAGCCAAAGCAGAGCACTCGAACCTAACCACTCAGCCACAGGCCAGCCCCTTGATTAACTTTTTTATTCCCTACATAGATTGTGGGCCCCTGGAGCACAGAGTTTCCATTTCATAATTCTTTGTTGTCCCCATAAATTGTATAGTGCCCTATATCTCATCTTTATTGAATAATTAACCAATTTATTTGATTTTGCTAATTGCAAATTGGGAAAAAACGTATTTACTTTAACATGTTCCTTACTAAAAATAGAGGTTATATGTGTATGTGTATGAACATATACTTCAGTCTATGCGTTGAATTTCTTTAAGAATATGGATTTATTTTTCCCAGTAGTTTCTGATTGCACAAATGACTAGGTGCACTTTGCAGGGAGCTGTTTACCTTGTTCTCAAACTGGTTATTGAATACTGCCAAAGGCAGCCCATTAGGTGAGCGCAGAGCTGAAGAGGTAGAAAAACCTTGTTTCCTAAGCTACTGAGAGGATTTTCACATTAGGTTGGCTCATGACCACATCTTTATAGTTCCATGCAAGTTCCTGACTATGGGAGTCGTTGTTAAAGGTAAGGTTTTTCTTACGTAATCTCATTTTAAGTTGTGAATTCCATTTTAACAGAGCAGTAGTAATGTGACTGTTTTGCTGCTAACTGTGCAACACATTGGAGACTGTAGTAGTTGTGTTCTTATATAAAGAAATTAGTACTTGTTAATATGTCAGTTACGGGTAGTTATAGTTTAATGTTTGCTTTTCCTAGGGCTTGTTTTGATTCATCATTTTTATTTAACTCACTGGAAGCCATCTGTTAGTTATATTTTAACTTTCAAGGTTCTATGTAATTTGGTTTTTGTTAATGAAATGCTATAAACAGCATTATGAAGCTTTTCTCTTTTAATCTTGAAAGGAAAAAAATCCATATCTAAAAAAGCAATCACAAAGAAGAGGAAAACTGTCACAAAGTCACCTACTGTACCAGAATTTCAGGTAAATGTTTCAATTTTGTCTCAACATTTTTTTAGTTTAATTTCTTTTTCAGTGTTTATATTGTTCCTCAAGAGATTCGTTGAATTCTACTGTAACACACATTCTTTCAATGAAATGTTTGCAATTATAACTTTTTTCTCTGCAAGCACAGACGTAGCTAAGATTTAATCTGCTGGTATTTCAAAATTTTTTTACCTCTCTTTTTGTTGATAGTGAAAAAATCTCTGTGGTTTTTTTTATATGCTCTACTGTATTATAGAAGTAGTTAAATAGAAATATATATAAAAATAAGTTTGTAAGTGAAAGTCTTCTAAGAACATAATTTGTACATGGTAATATTGCCTAGGTAATTCGTTTTCATTTATTTGGGCACTGTAGAAATGATAGATTTATTAACTTAAAAAACAAATCTTTTAACTCTTAGCTATATATGAACTTCATAGAGAATATTAAGTAAAAGTTAATGGCCTTTAAACATTTCTACAAAAAAATAGGAATTCGCTTGTACCGCCATATGATTATGTGAAGAGTTTTTTGTTTGTAGCTGATACTTAGAGTAAGCAAAGAATCTCGCCCTAAATAAATATTTATTTTCTAATTTATAAAAGCTATGTTTTCTTCAACAAATGACTTTCTTTAAAAATGTCTTTGTATTAGTGTGTCCAGTCTATTTCTGAAAGTTTTGTGACCTACTACTAAATTGCCAAAAAATAAAAGTGATGTTAAAATGAATTTCTATGATTCTCAAGAAGAAAATAAAGGAGTAATAACTATGAAAATATATATTGTGAGTTTAGTAGTTACATATATCCAAAAATGTAGACACAGCTGTTTTTCAGTAAAAATCCTATTTTTTGGAAATGTTCTTATGGAAGTTACTAATTAATAAAAGTTTAATATTTTTAAATGAACAGTGAAAGAAAATAGACATGATTTTCTCTTAGTATTATTTTAGAATAGAGTATTTTTAATAACATTCTTAGGATGAATTACAAACATTTCTACAAAATCCTTTTATATAAAGTAAACTTGGTTCTAGCATATTTAGTAAAAAATGTGTATTTGCTGTTTACTTAGAGGCCTTTCCACCATTGCTTGTACGTGTTATTTAATGCTATAATAGTATATCATCCTTCGACTGATGTCATGCTAGCCTTTGCTATTTCTTCCACTCATTTTTTTTCTCAATCCCTCAAAGTATTCATCCTGGGAATATAGATCTCAGGATAGATCTGGCCCGCTGTTGATATTTGTCTCCATTCCTATCTTAGTGGCTGGACTTTTATATGTAATAAGTGGCATAGACAGTGTTTTTAAAATTGCAGGTGATATTCATTAGTGAGACATGAAATCAATTTAGTGGATTCCATGACCTGCATCTGTTTCTTAAGGTAACAAAGTTAAAATAGGAAAGAATTTATGAGTATGTTCAAAAATATTACCCAGTAAGGATAATGTTGTTTCATGAAACTTTGCTTTCGATCATGTGTGTTTTATACTGGGTGCAATGCAAAATGTATTTTTGACCATGGGTTGTGAGCAGAAAAGTTTGAAAAATACTGTCTTAAGTGATGCTTTTTGTCAGTCACTGACCAATTTGCTTACCACTGTCAGAAACTTAAGGTCAAAAGTACATGTTTTGCTGGAGTGAGCTGTTTAAAATAAATAAATAAGGTCCCCTTCCTGGTTCTTAAGGTGTCCTAGAATGTGTGTGTCTGTGTGTGTGTATTTGGCTAGGAATGGGGAATAGAGTTATGAGAATAGTGGTTCTTATGCCTAGTTTACGATATGAATACCATGGTGTTACTCATAAAGAAAACTGACAGCTATCTCCCAGGAAATAGGTCATTTGCTTCAAATAAGCCAAGAATAGGAGATAGGCAATTTTAGTCATTAGTAAACTTTGTTACATGCAAAACTTATAGTTTTGCATCTCAAAATAATTTTATGTAGAGTTTCTTTAATTACTTGAAAGTTCCCCACATTTAAGAAGACTATTATATAATAAAGAAGTGAATTTTTCTTCCCAAAAGCTCTAGCAATATGACATTTAGCACCTCAAATTCTGCAGATTATTCGTTTTATCCAAGTTGTTTTAAATATCACATTTCTACTATTAATAGCTAGAAGATTTTCTTCATAGTATTCATTCTTAAATGCCTCATTGCTGAAAATAATGAAACTGTTGATGAATAGATATTAGACCCCTTTTGCAAAATCTGACTTATTTGCCACAGACTTGTTGTCTTTAAATTGACAGTAAAACATGCTTAGAAAGAAATATTTTCAGGGGTTAAATTGTGAAGTTTACTTTTTTTAAGTCCTAATGAATTTAAAAAGTGAATCCTGTTTTAATCTCAACTACTTTTTAATTTGACAGTGTTTTTGTTGCCTTTTTTAAAGCTAGAACTCAAACTCCTCTGCCTGTTTGCTTTAGGAAAAATCCTTGTTTATTTATGTAGATACCTGATATCTATACCTCAGTTTAAGAAGAAGATCATCCACCCCTATTTAAAGTATACATTGTATTATTCAAATGGTGGATTGGATTTCTTTTTTTTAAGTATTGTAAAGGGACTCATCATACTTGTGCCACTTTTTCCTAAAAGTTATGTCAGTGGTTCTCAAACTTTATATAGTATAAAAATAATCTGATGCCTTTATTAAAAATGAAAATTCCTGGGTTTCATCCTCAAGGTTTCATCCTTGCTTCAGTGGGTTAGGGGGGTTCTAGTAATCTGCATAGTGGTTAAGCATATGGATTCTGGAACCAGTTTACTTTGGGTTCGAATGCCAGCTTTACCATTAACTCTATAACCTTGGGTAAGTTATTTATCTCTTTGTGCCTCCAATTCCTCATCTATACAATGTGGTAATAATAGTACCTTACTCTTAAGAGTTGTGAGGATTAAGTGATGGAACTTATTGTTTTGTTATTTATTTTTTCAAATAAGCATGCCAGATGCTTCAGACAAAAAGTACTGTGTTATAAGTAGGAAAATCAAATAAGAATTGGCTTAAAGCATCTATTATTGACCTTTCCTGCTTTTTCCAGTTACTTAAGACCTTGAAATAAATCTCAGATTTGGTCGTATTTCATAAATCATGCAAGGTCATGATTAAGCTTACACGAATTTCAAAAGTGAAAAGCCAAGTATTAGTATTTGTATCATTATATTTAATCAGAGTGAAAATTTATGCTTAGCCCTACTCTGGTGTTATGGTGGGTTACACAGTTGGCTTATAGGAGAATGTGTTGGATTTTTTTAGCTAGCAATAATTGCAAAAATTAGGAAGTACTTTTATTTTTAGTATTTAGCATATTGGTGATTTAAGCTTTTATATCAAATTTAATAGTTATTTATGACTTTTTAAAAATGACTAAATCATTTTTTTTTTTTAAGGATTGGCACCTGGGCTAACAACTGTTCCCAATCTTTTTTTTTTTTTTCTGCGTTTATCTCCCCAACCTCCCCCCCACACACAGTTGTATGTCTTAGTTGCATGTCCTTCTAGTTGTGGGATGTGGGACGCCACCTCAACGTGGCCTGACAAGCAGTGCCACGTCCACGTCCAGGATCCTAACCCTGGGCTGCTGCAGCGGAGCGTGAACTTAACCAGTCGGCCACAGAGCCGGCCCCATTTTTTATTTTTCTTTATCAGTTTCATAATGTAAGAAAGACTGTTAACTGAAAAATGAATATCAATTTTCTTAATAAAGTTAAATTTTTACCAAAATTTGAGAGAGGAATCTTATATGAATTCTCTTTTTGTACACATTTATAATAAAGACATAGAAAGTATTTAAAAATACTTTTTAAATTTAAAAATACTTCCTATGTATGTCAAGAGTGTGTCATCTCAATAAGAAGTTTGTTTTTTTTTTTTTTTTTAAAGATTTTATTTTTTTCCCTTTTTTCTCCCCAAAGCCCCCTGGTACATAGTTGTATATTCTTCGTTGTGGGTCCTTCTAGTTGTGGCATGTGGGAGGCCGCCTCAGCGTGGTCTGATGAGTAGTGCCATGTCCGCGCCCAGGATTCGAACCAACGAAACACTGGGCCGCCTGCAGCGGAGCGCGCGAACTTAACCACTCGGCCACGGGGCCAGCCCCTCAATAAGAAGTTTTTAATATAAGAGCCTTAGTTACCGTAACTCTGCTTTTCATTGGTAACCGAAATCTTTCACGTAATACATATTTGCTCCTGTTCCATAGGTGTGATTAATTCTAAAGGCTGCTTTGCAGAGGAAGTCCAGAATCCAGCTGCTAAGACTTGCATAGTAGCATTGTTTTCAAACATAAGCATAAACTCACTGATCCTTAACATACCTCTGGAAAAACTGTATTTCTCCATTTAACCAATGGAGAAGCTAAGGGATGTGAAAAATTGAGACTAAAATTAAAATGAGACTTTGCTTCACTGTTAAAGATCTTTGATTATATTATTATGTTGAATTGCCACCTCTTAAAATGAGTATTTTTAACTTTAGCTTTTTGTTTCACTTTAACAGTATGGGTTTTTACTTCCCCCTAAAATTCTCTGAATTTTTAAGTATAGTGCATTGAGAGAAGCATCTGTTTTTAATCACATAGTAGTAAAAAATATCTTACCTTGTCAATCAGACTTGTTTTTCACATCACACATGATATCCTTACTTGCAGGTTTTGAAGTAGTCATTATTGCTGGTATGGTGATCATAAGAAGTGAGAAAGCATTTTCCTGTTCTCATAGTTTTAACGGATGTTAATATAATTTTAGTTTAAATACAACATAAATTCTGAATTTACAACATGCATTTAGTGTTTTACTTACAAGTTTTATAATAAATTATAGGATTGTTTTATTAGAATGGTAGTGAATGTGGACTTACTGTTTTGTACCTGTTCATTTTGACTTTTCTGCATTGTTTTCCCTTTGCTTTTTAATGTAATTCACTATATTGTTTATCTTTGTATGCTACCTTATGTCCTTTCTGAGATGATTAAAGTAAATATCTCTCAAACCTATTGAGTTTATACCCAAAGGGCATAATTTTTAGCTTGAAGTAGTGTTAAAGTTAAGGAATGATTTATTTTCTAAGTTTTCTGAGATGTGGTCATGGAGTTCTTTTGATCTGTATAGGACCTCCCCTCCCCCACTACATACACGCATTTCTGGTTCTCGAGTTGAAGAGAGGTCCTTTGAATATTTACCATTTAATAGAAATGGAAGCTTAGATATCCTAAACTATAATACATGTTCAATTGTTGTTAGATTTTTTATTTTGTTTTGTTTCAAAAGACCCGTTAAAGAATATGATGCAGTAGGAGGATGATGAGTCCTAGGTTCTATGGTTTCCTCTACCAGTGTGTCGTCTTAGATTACTTTACCTCTGTTAGTTTTAATTAGCTTATATATGAATTGGAGACACATCTTTTTAGTCTAGGCCAAGGTTTGGACCAAATTACATATTTTTGGTCCCTTTCAGCTCTAAGATTTATGATTTTGTGACTGTGTCGTGAGTTGCATCACGTGAAACGTTAACTTGAGGGAGGATATGACAACCTAAAGAGATTCTTCCTGGGGGATAAATCTCTTCTTATAACTTCTGCAGTATGACTGAAAGAAAACCTTCTCTCATGTGTGATGGCAGTGTGACCTAACTGTAGTCTGAGCTGCTGTGGAGCTTCCCTTTTCACCCCTGGAGGCCCTGAGCCTCAGATATGTTTTTCAAATTCAAGGTAATGAGAAGGAAGTTTTAATAATAAGGTGTTTTGCTTTGTTCAAAAGTTGCATCTGTTCTCCTTATTAAGGTGAACTTCACTTACTGGATTGATTTTGTGTGTGTGTGTGTGTGTGTGAGGAAGATTGGCCCAGAGCTAACATCTGTTGCCAATCTTCCACTTTTTGCTTGAGGAAGATTGGCCCTGAGCTAACATCTATGCCAGTCTTCCTCTATTTTGTATGTGGGATGCTGCCACAGCATGGCTTGATGAGCAGTCTGTAGGTCTGTGCCTGGGATCTGAACCCACAAACCTCGGGCTGCCGAAGTGGAGTGCGAGAACTTACCCACTACTCCACCAAGCTAGCCCCATATTGGATTGATTCTATTTTTAAAAGCACTATTTGAAGTTGAGTTGAGTTTAAAAGCCACATATATGCCTTACTTTGTAAAACAGAAGAAATACAGGGTGTATATGACAGAGTTGTCATTAATCAAATTATTTTTTTCTTTTGATATTAGTCACAAAATTAGAATTATGTTCCTATACAAGAATTTTCTAATAGCTTAACTTGACTGTATATTTTAGGTATCTATATTAGGTATATATTACATCTATATGTAGAGAGAGGTATATATTAGCATATAAAGAGAGTATCAGTTGTTTTGTAGATATTAAGTCATTTTAAGATAACTTCAAAGTAAATATTATTAAAAATATTTTAACCCTCAAATTCAATGAAATTTGTGTTTGAGTCATGTTATTTATTTGAAGGAACATTTGTCTTATAATTGTGCATTTAATTCGGTATTCCATTTTCTATTTGGAAATTAATCTTTTTGAATTTTCTTACTCATTAGCTTCCATAGTACCAGAATATTTTAGTAGCCATGCAGATTTATAATTCATAATCATTTAGTACCTCACTGCTCAAAAGTGTGATCTGCAGATTATACCTGGGAACTTGGTAGAAATGCAGAATCCTAGGTCCCACCTCAGACCTACTAAATCAAAAACTACATTTTAACAAGATTCCCAGGTGATTCTTAAGCACATGAAATTAAAATTTGAGAAGCAGTGATTTAGTACAACTTACTAACTAGATACCTAAGCCACTTGAAAGTTATTTTATAGCTCGTAAGCTATGGAAATCATTTCATGGTTTGACTTCAGAACTGTGTTATCTACTCCTTTAAATGGATTATAAATATTTGTTCATCTCATGACTAACTGCTAATTAAAAGATCTTCAATTTTTTAGGATGGGTTTTGTTGTAGGGGTGTATGTTTTCATTGTTAGTGTAAGTTTTTACAAACTACATGCAGAATGTACTCTTATTTCTTGTATATTGAGACAGCCTAAGTGAAAGTGAAAATTCCTCTGAGCTTTGCCATATGTGTAAATGAGAAATCTATGCTGTGATATTAACTAACACACCAAGTTCAGTGAAAAGGGTGTAACCATCTGCATTCTCTGAGGGCAAATTTGACTTGGTAGTCATGATAGCAGATTATGCAATAGAAAGTTTAGTTCCCACTGAGTACTTACTAAAAACCTGGTGTTGGGCCAACATTGTTCTGAGGCTTTATAGATATAATAGAAGTTAAAGACATTGTCCAGTTCTAGAAGCACTTACATAGTTGGCCAGTCCACTGCTTGACCATCAGCATTTCTTCTATAACTTCCAAATAACAGATTTGGCAAATGGGAATGTGTAGTTTTTAATAAATATCAGCTGCACTGTCCTGCTATATCACTGTGTACTGTTTTCTACTCTGAAATTAATACTGGTTACTTAAATACATCTTTCCTGCTTTGTCAGTTCTGTGAGTTTGAAATTATGTAGATATTTCTATTAATAATTAATACTTATTGAAATTTATAATATCTGTGATAATTTTTTCTTAGTCTGTTAGGTTGAAACATGTTGCCACTTTTGTAGATCAAAGGTGTTTCAGCTATTTCATATGGTTCAACCTAATAATAAAGGAAGTTTTAGGGGCTTCTAGTCTCCTATTTTTGTCACTTAGTTACTCGAAATGATCTTATTGTAACACACTTTTACTTTTGTTGTTTTTGTTTGTTTTCTTTTAAAAGAAAGTGTGCCTTTTAGGAAAATAATACCCTTACACAGAAATTGATGAATGTAACAAACACGAGCTGATAAAAATTAAATTAATAGCTTTATAAATATAATATTTTTTAATTATCATACAGTATAAACATTACAAGACTTTCATTAATCTAAAACTTTGCCACTGTATGTGGTTCCAGTTTTGTTTTATAAGTTTTTTCTTTTTCACAATAGATTTTTTAAAATATGAGCTTAAATTATTTTAGGAAAAAAGTTAAATATGTTGAATTAATTGGAAAAATTCAGTATTTTACAAGAACTAAAATGTAGTTATTAATATTTTTGTTGCTGACACTTCACTGTTTAAAACTTTAGTAATTAAGCCAATTAGTTTGATTATTAATAGCTAAAAACCAATTATTTTGGCCATTTGCTAACATTACCAAAGTGAAATAAAATGAGCCACACAATTATGAAAGGAAATAGATGCTATCTGTGGAGATGGTTTTATTAAGGACTGCTAAGATCATGTTAAGAGCGTACTTTCGTTTACTTCTTTGACTATATTACATGTAGTTCAAGTCCTTCTTTATTAGAAATCCCAACAGCAATGATACAGTTTGTTTAATTGTATATTTAGCAACCAAAGCAAAGGTGTAATGACAGTTCTCCAGGGTGCATTTATTCACCTACTAGGAGATGCCTGTTGAAGCATTTCTTAAAGGTGATCCAGTAAACTGTGAAATCTAGGGTGAGTTTCCAGATCTTTGTCATTCTGGGCCGAAAGTTAATAAGGTTAAGAAAGTACCTGGATTATAAAACAAACTGAGAGGTGAGGATGTGGGACGAAACCACCAATGTTGAAATTTCAGTTATTTTTATACTAAGCCTGAAGTTCATACATCATAACAAGTAAATATCTTTTAAAATATAAACTGCGGAGCTTTCTTTGCTTTTTGCTGTTACAAAGACAAATAATTGTAAATTCAGTGTATGTTAAAACAACTTCTGTTACCACATTTTGGGTGTTTTATATTATGTGTTATCAAGCTGTGTTTTTGTGTTTTATTTTAGCTTATTTGCACTAATCTTGATGAACTCAGGGAATTAATCACAAAAATCGAGAATGAACTCAAAGATCTGGAAAACAGTAGAAAAAAATCGGTAGGTGTTGATCCAAAAGTTCTATCTATTATTGTCAGCATTAAAATTTATTCCTGCTTTTTTCTAAAGCCTTTTTTATCTTGTTCTCCTGGATTACATAAAAATTTGCAATGACAAATAGAAACATTGTTTCTTTTATTTCTCCTATGTGGTCTAGTTTTCATTTTTAATAGACAAAAATGGTGCCGGGGCAAGTAAATTAATTTTGTTTGCCTGGTTTATATCAGGTATAGTTTTAGATATTTCCCAATATACTGGTTGGTTGTTTTCTGACTGGTAGTTTTTTGGTAATGCTTACCTCGCAGATATTCTTAATTAATAATGTACTTTTAATGGAAGTTTATTGCTTGGTAACATAAAATTTTAATTAGGTGTGATATAAATAACAGATGTAAATTGTTTAATCCTGCCCCCAGATGTTTTTGATACATGCTTAACAATATGTCTTTTTTAAGAACCTTTATCAGCTAAAGGTCTTTTTTTAACTTTCACTATGTATTCTAAATTCATAATTAATCTTTACCTTCATTTTTCATTGTTCTTGAGAGAATAGTGTGTGAGGGCATTATATTTATTCACTCAGCACTTGGTAAAGCACTCAATTATGTTATTTATTAAATGAGTAATAACCATTTAACTGGCATTTGTAGTTCGGTTATATCGCGGATTTGAAACACAATTACACACCAATAAATGGGGAAGGCTTTAAGTTTTGAAGAAAATCAACCATCATTTAAAACTTCCTTTGTTCTGTGCCTTAGGAGTGTCATGAAGCCTCTTTTAGGTCTTTGCTCAGAACCTGTTAATCTAGAATTACATATAAATTACGGTTAGTGACAGAGCAAGCTTCATATCAGCAGATTTATAGTAGTCATTTTATATGCTGTTTAGAAAAGACATATTTATAGCATTCTGAAGGGAGGAAACTGAAGTACTGAAAAGTAAAACGTTCTGAGGTTATTTAATACAGGAGAAAATCAGCCTTAAACATTTCAGGAGTCTCTCATGTGATACGCCTGAGAATATCACTATAATCTAGGAGATAGAATAATGTTCATAATGATAGCCATCACTTAATAAGAAAACATATTCAATATACAATCTGAGAATGCAGAAAGCTGCATATTTTAGAAATATTTCCATTGAAAATGGTTTAGACCCTTATTAGACTTATGTTTTTCATATATGTATACTTTAGTATGTGGGCAATCTCTTGATATGAAAGACCAAGTGTTTAAAATTTACCTCTGTGATATGTATCTCAAACAACATTTATGTTAGAATATTTTTTCCTCAGTCAAAAGTTTTTTTTAATATATTTCATGTTATATACTTATAAAGGACTGATTCTATGCCTTAATAGGCAAGAATAGTCTTTTAATCGGTGTTATTTATAATTTTTTGCTGAAGCTGTTTGTTTTAGTGGCTTGTCCATACTTCATGACTCTAAACAGAATTCTGTTAAATGAATTTGCTAATTGTTTTTCATGCTGCAGTTAAACATAATAGATGCATCTTAATTTGTTCCCATATTATAAATTAGGGTTTTATTTGTTTTTAATGGATAGTTTTAATCAGAATAGATTTATGTACTTATGGCGTGTGTTGTAAGAGAAAAAGACTTCTGCAAGCATCCTAGAGTCTTTCTGTAAAGCTATTCACTTCACTTCCATTGGTGATATGAGGTATAAGCATATTGCCTTCCTTCACAGGAACCAGTAGAAGAAGAAGAAACGAAAACATAAATTACAAATACTTGACCTGTAGTCTTTGGGGACGTGTTTATCAGAAAACTTGAGGTTATATATAGAGTTTAATTGATTAAATTTTGTGTCTCTAAATTTGACTCCTGGTATTTGCATATTAGTTTTAAAATATGTTTTCTGCTTTTCAAGAAATAGAAATTCTTGGAACTGTACTTAGTGGGAGTAATTTTGTTAGGATTACCAGCATATAGGCTATTTCTCTTTAATTTAAACTGCCTAAAAGATTGTTTTCATGAACAGCTTATCTCAGCCAATGAAATGGCCATACAACATAAAGGAAATAGACATAAAAGTTTGCATCTCAGTATCATTGCTTATTTTACAAAAGCTAGTACTGAGTGTGATAGATGTTAATTGTAGGAATTAAATTTATTGAATGTTTATGTTAATATTAAATACCAGTGTGTTTGTCTGGTATCAATTGGGAATAAGGTGATCCATTTAACTGAATTTTCTCTATAACTGAAACCTAAACCTTCAATACTAAAACTCTTATTTTAATTGTTAATGAAAAACTTCCCTGCCTCCTTGTACTGTATTGAACACAATTTAACTGTTTCTTGATGACTCAAAGATCATTATGAATATCCATAATTGTGCTGCTACCCTGAAAATCGATTGATATCAGTAACTTTAATTATACATTCACCAAAAGGTCTTTATGCCATATATTTTGAAGGTTTTTGTTTGTTTGTATTTTTGCTTTTGTTCTGTCTCTTCATTGTCAACTTATCATTTCTTGTGTGTATCCATGTGCTAGCCCTAGCTGATATACTGTGGATTACAAACCAAGTAACCATATTTATTAGAATTGGGCTTATGGTAAGGACCTAAGGGACTTTCTTAATAATGAAATGCATGAAGTTGCTGATATTGACAGCTATTTTGACTGATTTCTTGCTTTGTGGGCTTCCTTTACTGTTACCAGAAAATCAAGTGTTAATATTGATCTTCATAAGAGAATATCACTGTCAAAACTAAAATAGCATTTAGAGTCAAAACCATTCTATTATTCAACATCAGTTTTCATATCTACAATAATGGCTCCAATAACAAAGAGGATATATTCCATATAAACATTTGGTTGTCATAAATGCCATTGCTAAAGATGGAAATTACATATTGATAGAAAATTTAAAATGGATTCATATAAACACCTGGCTGCTTTAGGGGGTTTCTTCTCTGCAGGGCCTTTCCAGATAGTTTTCCTACCAAAGCAACAAGGAATTATTCCATTTTCTCACTTAGGTCAATATTCCATTGAAAAAGCTTTCTTAACCTTTAGAAATGTTTGCCAATGAGCTACTCATTGTTTTGGAAATTTTACAGTCTTTTAAAATCTAGATTGTGTACTCATTCTTGCAAGACAACTAATTCCATTTATGGTTAGTAATCTGAGGAGAGAAAAATGCTTTAATTTTCTTGTTTGCTCTAGTTCATTTGATCGCATTAGTTTATTTAGAAGCTTATTTAATAAAAGATCGACATCCCTTAGCTCCTGCAGTCCTAGACCTATTTATTGTATACCTGACATTTGTTTAAAGTGAAGCATCTGGTTGAGATAAATAGAAGTATATAGTTTGACAAAGTCCTTTAATTTTGTCTTTCTCATTATTATTTAGATTATAGGATTATTTAGTGAGCTAAAGAAGAAATCATAACATTTTATTTAGATTATAGGATTATTTAGTGAGCTAAAGAAGAAATCATAACATTTTCTTGTTTTTTTATCTTTGAGGTTTTAGTTGAGATAAAATTTGTATTTTGCCTCATTATTTGGAAAATATCCTTTTTAACCTAGGAAATTTATGAGTTTTCCAGAAAGAGCTAAGATATTGATAAATTTGCCTGATCCTATTATATTTGAAATTTACTAGATGTTATTGACTTCTAAATAATCAAAATGGAAGATTTTGTCAGGCTTAACCAGAAGTGGTTATATTTCTGAGTTTTTTATGTGACTCCTTTTTTTCTCAAATCTGCTTAATTTTCTTGTGTTTTATATCATAATTTAGATTGTCAAAGAGGTGTTAATCTTTTTTTCTTTAATAAGGAAAGATCTCCGTAGAGATTGGATGTAATAGAAAGTGAACATCTGCACAGCCAGAAGGATCTACAGCTGGAATATACAGCTATGTACTGGGAGGCTTTGGGGAGAAGAAGGGGAAAGAAATGAACATTTGACAAAAATAAGACGTTATTTATAAGAAAAGAAACCTTGTCTAGATTATATAATGATAAATGATAGTCTTATCAACATACATAAACTAAAATTTAAAATATAAGACCATATCTTTTCTAATACATCTTTTAGCAGTTTAAGGATCTCAACACTAAGCAGAATTTAAGATGGGCTTCAAGTATTTCTAAATTTCATAATCAGTATGTAAGAAAAGCTATAACTGCCTGTGCTCGTTGATCCTATAATCCTATTTGTGATTTAACTTTTATTCTCCCCATTTTTACCCCCTAAAAAAGTAATTTACACAATGGTGTGTTCAGCAGACTACCTCTAATAGTGGAAATTTGGAAAAAGCCCATATGTCTAACAGTAGGGAGGTGACTAACCAAGCAGTAATATTAACACAACAGTATATTATGTAACTAGTAAAATAAAATATTTGTAGGTCTTTGTTACTACATGGAAATGCTTATGAAATGTTAAATTTTAAAAATATACAAAATAATATGTGCATAATGATTACAATATGCAAAAAGCCATGTTAAAAAGAATTGGAAAAGAATTTCAAGTAATGAATAAAATTAATCTTAATATGTTCTTAAAGTAATTTAAATTCATAATGCAATAATAATACTTCTCTTGCTTAACCAAAGGCTGAACTTTAGCTAGATGAAACATTAGAGAAATCAGAGGCTTAGGTCAGAGGTGGTGACACCCCATTTTTTGGTCACAGAGTTCTGTATAAGCCAGAGGTTATCAGGGATGGTTCCTCCCCACTACCCCACACCCAGAGACTTTTAGCAATGTCTGAAGACATTTTTGGTTGTCATAGTTGAAGAGGTGGTACTGGCACTTAATGGATAGAGGCCAATGATGCTGCTAAAAACATCTTACATTATAATAATCCTACAATGCACATGACAGCCCTCAGAATAAAGAATTATCTGACCTCAAATGTCAGTTGTGCAGGGATTGCAAAACCCAGGGATAAACCCATAATTGCTAAAGGCCCTATTCTCTCATTTTGTTTGCTGTTGCCAACTTATGGGGAG